GCTGAAGCGGTAGCAGCCGGCTCAGTGTTTCCCCTAGGAAATTTTCCCAGCTGTGTGTGTGTGTGGGGGGGGGGGGGGGGGGGGGGGGATATGACACGTCTCACCTTTATGTTAATATTGTTTTATTTGATGGACTCTACTTTGAACTGCATCAATCCACTGCTGCATTTTAATAACTACTATTAAAGGTGAATACACCAATATTTGCACAAGAATAATTTTTGTTTTAAACTCTCAGTGACACACTTTGCAGGGTGGATTTGGCATTAAATTTTTCTTGGCGTCTGGAAAAATATCTCCTTCTGCCCCCCTTTATTTGACATTCTGCCCCCTGTATTTTGGTCCAAGATCATTACTGGGCTGGCCCTATTAAACACGTTCTACACCCCTGCTTAGTAGACTTAATGAAGTATTTTTAGGCCAGTTTAAAAATGACTGAAACACAAATTTACATATTTGGCATTATTGACCAATATCTTTGATTTAATTTATTAAGAACATCAAGATGCATTACAGTGAACATTATAATGAAGTACATTTTTCTAGTGCAGACAGGAGACGACCCATAGAAGCACTGATTTGACCTCATTTCAGAGAAAAATAGAACAGTTCAGATGCACCTAATAAATAAAATTACTAACAAACTCAGGAATCTGTTTCTTTGCTTCATTGTTCTGGTGCTGAAAACATCACTAATGCGGATCAAAGGAGATACACAGGTGAATGCACCTTATTATTAGGAAATTAGTGGGTGTGGTTTACATCAAAACATTAGTTTAAATCTGAAATTGATATGGATTGATCAAAAGTTGTTTATTTATAAACTATTGTTTATTTGAAAACTGTTTACAGAGCAGCCTCAGAACTGAGATTAAATATTTTTGATCACAATAGTAAAGAAACTATTACAGAACAAGTTTTTCAGTAAAATCTGAACATTAATATTTAAGTGCATGAATTAATGCATCTGAACTGTGTGTGTGTGTGTGTGTGTGTGTGTGTGTGTGTGTGTGTGTGTGTGTGTGTGTGTGTGTGTGTGTGTGTGTGTGTGTGTGTGTGTGTGTGCGTGCGTGTGTGCGTGCGTGTGTGCCCGTGTGTGCGCGTGTGTGTGTGTGTGCGTGGATTGGCCGGACGGACTGAGCTGTGTGTAGGGAGGGGCGGGCGCTCTATGTGACTGGCCAATCACAGAGTGTGAAGACAGTCCGTTACCCAATAAGGATTTTCCTTCACCACGATTACAGATATTTACAAGTTTTACTCGTTTCATGCTCGTATTCGTCAAAAATGCTTTATCCGTACCGGATACGGCTCATCCCTAGCTGTAACCACCCTGCCCTGCCTCCTCCTCCTCCTTGCTGCCTGCCGGCTGTGATCACAAGCAACAACAGAGTAGTTCCCGCTGCTTCTTTGGGAAACGGCACAAAAAAAAAATATCAGTAAAACTTGGGACCTTGTAGGCGTGGCGCTGGGATTTCAGCCGTGGCGGGTCGCCACGGCTACACCTATGTAAGGTAAACACTGCGGCTGTTTCTCCTTCTCCGATATTGAGCGGAGAACCTCTCACACCTGTGGTGTTCTGGTGCTGAATACGTGAGTGTGTGATGAATGGAGGACCCAAGTGTAGCGGTTCAACCACATGGTCCAATGGTTGGTTTCAGGCCAAAACAAGTTATTAACTCAGATTTTTAGACAAATGCAAGAAAATCACTTTGTTCCTTTATTTTTAATCCCCACAGTATATTTATAGCTATGCTATGACAGAATGTTGTTAAAAGGAATTAAATAAATGTTCTAAGCTAATTTGTTTTCCAAATTTGCCATTGCAGCTTTAAACCCAAGCTGGAGCAACACATCTAAAGGTGCAGCAGTAGTGTGACATAGAGAGCCTAAGTCACGCCATTCTACTTCCCAGAAGTGAGAAATATTGAATTCAAATCAACGGGGCTATAAAAGCTATTTTCTAATCCCGTTTGTTATGTGCCATGGATATGATGTCTGTGGATTCTAAAGACACATATTGATACCAAGAAAGTGTTTATTTTCAAACAGGGGCAACATTATTTTAGATTTTCTGTGAAAATACGTCCAGGACTTAGGGGTTGTCACGATACTAAAATTTCAAACTTGATTTGATACTGGGGGGAAAAAACTCAATACTCGATTTCGATACTATTTAAAAACACCAATTTATTGAACAAGTTTATTCAAAAAATAACATTCCTCAATTTTTATTGCAAAAATTAAATGTTAAGAATTAAGTGTGTAAAGTGGTTAAACCTTTCAAGTATCAGCATTTTTTAAAGTGCATACAAAAACTGGTGAAAGTTAACACTTTAAATCATGAATTGTCTCACTATATATACACTATTTGCAGAGTGATGTTTTGCTGCTTAAACTCTGTTTAAGGTGCATTTTTGTCATAAGATGTAATGCCATATGTTTTGTTCTGTACTTTTGAACAACTCTGTTGGTCAATAAAGGGAGAAAACAAATTTCTCCACAGTAGGACAAAGGTACATCTACCGGTAATCTTAATAAAAACAGATTGGCGCACGGCAGTGACGTCATTAAAAGCGCCGGTTAGATTAGCCGCAGCTAGTCTGTTTACGTCTAGAAATCCCAGACCCGCTCCAAATGAACAGGGGAATTATGTTAATGATTCCTAACAAAACATTTCGACATTGAGAGGTTTTGGTGCAGATAATGTCTTATTTCGAGGCTGCACCATGGGTGCCCGTCTGCACCCGTTATATGGATATACACTGACGGCGATTCGCCGATGGATCTAAATACCCCGGGGAATCCAAGTAGCACCAAAGTTGTCAGCGTGAGTAAACAAACGTACCTCATGCTAGAAATTAAGTCCGGGTTGCAATAAACGGGAGTTTCCTTTAAGCACATAAGCGTGAATATACAACTACCTGTCGGACTTGGTATGCTAATTAAGTTGGGCTGTGAAGCGCCTCCCAAATTCGCTGTTTATGTTTTTGTTTATTTATTTGACAGACAAAACTTGGATCGGAGACAACTCGCGTGGGAAATTGCTATGTAGCCATGCGGCGTCTTCTTCTTCTGCTTGTCTGGGAGGCGGAGGCTGCTTTACGGCATCTGGCTGTCGTGCGTGTCGGTGTACTTGAAGAAGGCTGTGTATAATAGTCCATAATATCGATACCACAGGGATGGAATATCTAATTTAGATACCACTTTTAGTATCCATTTATATCTAGGTATCGATTTTTTTGACAACACTACCAGGACTACAAATGTTCATCACCAAATGGATGTCATTTAACCAGACACAGAGAAGAGTGGAGAAAAATGGCTGGAAGTTTAACTAGCTTTAAAGCCTTCGTCCAGGAGGAAAGAACCACCATGAATCTGGCCGTGTGGTAAATAGCGGCTACGCTTCTTTTATATATTATTTCTTCAGTTCAACCAGGACGTGCATGCCGACACATAGATACACACACACACACACACACACACATACGGTAGGCTAAAGGGGGCGCATGGGAACACTACAGAATTTCTTCTGCTACACAGCAGCAGTAGCTCAACAGGTTGTGTGGGTTGTCCAGTAATCGGAAGGTTGCAGGTTCGATCCCGTCTCCTGACAGATAATTCTGCTGTTGTGTCCTTGGGCAAGACACTTAACCCACCTTGCCTGCTGGTGGTGGTCAGAGGGACTGATGGCCCCAGGGCAGCTGTGGCTACATCGTAGCTCATCACCATCAGTGTGTGAATGTGTGTGTGAATGGATGAAAGATACACTGTAGTGTAAAGAGTTTTGGAGTCCTTACTCTGAGAGGTGCTATACAAATGCGGGTCATTTATCACTTATCATTTACACCTCTTCTATAGGATGACAACTGTGATTGCTTTACTAGAAAAACCAGCAAATGAGACGTGACGTATACCTCTCATCTAGATGCTTACATCCACTCACCACAAACCAGATAGCTGAAAATGTCCGTTACGCAGAGCTGCGACAGCAACAAGTTGTTGTCGGTGCTCCAGTCTTGGGTCTTTCATATAGATCCAAACCATTTCTAATGCTGATTATGTCCCAATACCAGTCCCTGGATTCCCTATTGAATGCATCTCTGCATATCCAACATAAGTTGGGGGATTTTAACATGTTTCACAAGCCCTGTTACAAATGCCTACAAGCTGAAAAATCTCTAAGTACGCGACTGGCATGGTCAAAACACACATCACTACTTCTCATTTAAAGTGATCACAGTGAAGAGATCATATGAGCCATTCAGGGCATAAGCTAAGTGCATTAGAAAATAGCCCCACTGACATGCATTCATTTTTTTGTTCTTCCGGGGACCCATGAGCCGACCGGAAGGGGAGGAGACTTAGGCTCCCTGTAAGCATTATCGACACACCACACACACACCACGATAATTCAGAGATGTGTGTGAACCTGTGGTTGAGTTTAAACATCACAGGCTGCTGAATCTATAGGGAGCGGGGTATTTCTCTGTGGGTGTGCACGCATTGTCCAGGTATTCCCAGACCCCTCCCAGTGATCCCCAGCTGTCAGCTTCACACTGGGATCCTCTGTCTCCCAGAGGCTGTCGGCTCAACACATCTAAGCTTGTGAATTTCAATGAGAAACACAATCACATGACGAGCCTGCAGGCTTGTTTCGGTCCTATCCTCGCCCTCCATTCTTCCACCTGCTTTTGTTTAAAAGATGTGGCCTGAAGTGGATTAACCAGAAGAACTAGTTAGCCTTCAGGCTGCTGTCAAACCTCACGGCTAACTCGGAGCTAGCGCTCAATAATGGCGTCTAATTCCTGGTGTCAACGTAAACATGTATCGCATAGCAATCATTCAGGCTCTGAATAAAGCCTGCCAGTTTTGTTACACTTCGGTCATTTGATTAAGTCCCCTCTGGTAAATGGCAATTCAAGAATTTAATAATGATAAACACATAACATAAAGATAATAGTCACCGCAGCCCAGGAAATACACGTAGCCATTCTTACCGTTCCCTCGGACATTAATTGCTAATGAGACTAGACTGTGACGGTCCTCTTGGTTTCCTGAAGATAAACGATATCGCTCCTGCTGTGGATAACGAACCGGTGGGTGTGAAAAATACACGAGCTTAGAAACAGGATCCCCGGTGTGGGTCTCCGCCGGCTGCTGATGACTTCACTGCATCAAAAGCCGAATAATGTAGCTCAGTCAGTCGTTAGTATGAGCCGATAGGAAGCCTCCTGGTCATCACTGCTTCCATGGTGAAACCAGTCGTACAGCAGCGTGAGAGGGCTGGACAGGTACCCAAACAAAAAGCCCCTCTCTCGGTACTGGAAGTGACAGCTTCTGTCCTCCCGAGTTCCTCCTCCAGACAGTTTTGACGTCATGCTTCCAGGGGCGAGTAGGGAGAGTCTACCGGGGGACCGCACCCCCTCCAAGGACATCCATTCATTTTCATTTCTCATGTAATCCCCCTCACACTTTTGCTGGAGAAATTTGTTTTTGATTTATGAACAGAGGTTGATTTGTGATGAGATGCCTCTAGAATAGAATAGAATAGAATAGAATAGAATAGAATAGAATAGAATTTATTGATCCCATAGTGGGGAAATTCCCTTGTTACAGCAGCACAAATACTTAAAGTGCAAGTCACCCCCTACCAGAGTATGTCTCCACTCCCACTTCCTGTTTGAAAAATGTAACAAATGCTGTTGCCTAGCAGACCGAGAGGGCGGAGCCACTAACAACTACACACAGACAGGCTCACAACAACATTGTGACATCATATGGTACCAGCTAACGTCCTAGGGTACCTCTTAGCCAATAGCGATGGCAGATTTAAATTCAAGCGCAGTGCAGTTTTTACCTGACAATGGCACAACATTAACAGTTTTAGGCAGAAAATTAAACTTTGAACTAAAATGCACTAAAGTGCAAAACTATTGACTACACGTGTCTGCTGCATGATTAGACATGCATTTATATAGTTTATTAGAAAAAAAAGTAGATTTGGGGGTGACTTGTGCGTGCGTGTGTGCGTGCGTGCGTGCGTGCGTGTGTATCTGCTCTGTCTTCTCGATCCCCAGTGAGTCGTGGAGGATGGCTGCTTATACTGAGCCAGGATCCTCTGGAGGTTTCTTCCTGTTAAAAGGGAGTTTTCCTCTCCACTGTCCCTTTATGCTTGCTTAGTATGAGGATTGCTGTATAGTCACTGACACTAGTCAGTGACTTGATGCAATTTGCTGGGTTCCTTATATAGGAAAAATTATTTCTGATTGGCTTAATGAACTGACCTGAATTGGAATGTTTATTATGTGAAGTGCCTTGAGACGACTCTTGTCGTGATTTGGCGCTATACAAATAAACTAGAATTGAACTGAATTTAAGAGAATATTTAGAAGAAATTTTAAAACAAAGGTACATGTACACTTACCCAAAGGATTATTAGGAATACCATACTAATGCGGTGTTTGACCCCTTTCGCCTTCAGAACTGCCTTATTTCTACGTGTCATTGACTCAACAAGGTGCTGCAGTGGCGGCGCCAGGGTGGCACTAGCGGGCGCTATAGCTACCCCTGGATTAGTCATTGCACCCTATAGCACCCCTAAGTAAAAATTAGATTTTTTTTTTACAATTTTAATTTAACGTGTGGATGTGATAATATTTAACATACAAAACAAAAATAATGAGTAAATTATCAGATAGTAAAAACTTAAACCAAAACAGGAACTTGATGTTAACCTTTGACATCATTTTCCACCTGCGAACAAGTGAAATGGACCGTTTTTTTGTTGCCTATATTTCTACAGGTTCAGTTAGAAACGAATGAATCTTTGGAAGTGATCTCAGACCCATAAAAACCTATGGATCTAGATGAAGAGAGTCAACCCTCAACGGCTGCAGCAGTCGAGGGTTTTGCCACTGGGAATGCTAACACTAACGTTAGCTAACCTTGCAACACTATAGATGGTTTTCTGTGTGGCTTTATGTGTGTCACGGTGAGAGCAGGAGGTTAGGACCCAAGATGCAGAATCCCCAGAACGACTCAAGGCAGGAGAGGTTTGAGAGAATACTTCCTTTATTTTAAAGGCGGATGCGCCAAAGTCCACAAAACAAACCCGACTTAATATCAAACTTGCAGAACGAACAAACAAACAGAAGCTCACTCATTAGCACGAACTAGGGTAACTAGAGAAGGACAGAACACGCTGACAATTACAATGAACCAACACAACACTGAGGCCTAGTCCACACATAGCCGGGGTTTTTTTTAAACGAAAATCCACCCCTCCAGAAACTTCATCCACACCACCTCGTTTTAAAAGAAAACTCTGTCCACACGTACCCGGATAAATACGTTGTTAAGGACTTGCCAGACCTGTAGGCGGCAGTACTTCCCCCGTTCTTAACCTCGTCCTTCGTCTGTGGTCTTCCGCCAGGAGCAGTAATTCCGCTTGCAAAAACAAACAAGCAGAAAGCGCTTGGACAATTGATAAAGCGAGCGCAGCTCTGAGGGCATCCATGCTGTCGGCTAGTGTAAACACAGGTCGCACACGTGATGTCAGCATTTTTTGTCGCGGAAAGTGACGTTGCGGACCTTAAAACTCCGGTTTTGTCCGTCCACATGCAGACACCCAAAACAGAGAAAACGCAGATCTTCACTTTGGCCGGAGTTTTTAAAAAGATCCATTTTCGTGTGAAAAAACTCTGTATTTGTGTGGATGACAGGCCAAAACGTAGAAAAATATCTACGTTTTGGCAGATCCCCGGCTACGTGTGTACAGGGCTTGAGACGCAGACAGGGTTATGTACACAGAGGGGAGCAATCAGGGAAACAGGCCGCAGGTGCGTGGGCAGTGAGAGGTGAAGGGATCAGGTGAGACTAATTAGCTGAGTGGGGAAAACTGACTAGGTAAAACAAATCTATAGAGAAACTACAGATAAGTGAACTCCTAAAACTTGAAAACAAGACAACCATAAGAAAAACAGGGATGGGATTTCTAAATCTGAAAACACTACGGGGAAACCTGGAGTGGGCTGGGGAACACAATGGGACACAAGAGGAGAATCTGGAGAAGAGAACAGGAGGAGGCTGGGGACAGAGGGACACAGAACATGACAATGTGTTTGTGATTTCATGGAAAAGTCAGCATCATAAGTTTATGATGTGTATTAATGATTGTTTCAGGTGTTGAGGTTTTGTGCACGCATGTGTATCTGTTAGTCTTGAAGGTGTTTTAGAGAATAATAGGTACGCAAAACCACTTCCTTCATAGCACCCTCAATAAAAAGACTATCTCCTTCATAGCACCTGCAGAAAAACATTTCTGGAGCCGCCACTGTGGTGCTGAAAGCATCTTTAGAAATGTTGGCCCATATTGATAGGATAGTATCTTGCAGTTGATGGAGATGTGTGGGACGCACATCCAGGGCACGAAGCTCCCGTTCCACCACATCCCAAAGATGCTCCATCGGGTTGAGATCTGGTGACTGTGGGGGCCGTTGTAGTACAGTGAACTCATCGTCATGTTCAAGAAACCAGTTTGAAATGACTGGAGCTTTATGACATGGTGCATTATCCTGCTGGAAGTAGCCATCAGAGGATGGGTACATGGTGGTCATGAAGGGATGGACATGCTCAGAAACAATGCTCAGGTAGCCCGTGGCATTTAAACCATGCCCAGTTGGCACTAAGGGGCCTAAAGTGTGCCAAGAAAACATCCCCCACACCATTACACTACCACCACCAGCCTGCACAGTGGTAACAAGGCATGATGGATCCATGTTCTCATTCTGTTTACGCCAAATTCTGACTCTACCATTTTAATGTCTCAACAGAAATTGAGACTCATCAGACCAGGCAACATTTTTCCAGTCTTCAACTGTCCAGTGTTGGTGAGCTGGTACATATTGTAGCCTTTTTCTCCTATTTGTAGTGGAGATGAGTGGTACCCGGTGGGGTCTTCTGCTGTTGTAGCCCATCCGCCTCAAGGTTGTGCGTGTTGTGGCTTCACTGATGATTTGCTGCATTCCTCGTTTGTAACGAGTGGTAATTTCAGTCAAAGTTGCTCTTCTATCAGCTTTTAATCAGACGGCCCATTATCCTCTGACCTCTAGCATCAACGAGACATTTTTGCCCACAGGACTGCCGCATACTGGATGTTTTTCCCTTTTCACACCATTCTTTGTAAACCCTATGGTTGTGGGTGAAAATCCCAGTAACTGAGCAGACCGTCCCGTCTGGCACCAACAACCATGCCACGCTCAAAATTGATTAAATCACCTTTCTTTCCCATTCTGACATTCAGTTTGGAGTTCAGGAGATTGTCTTGACCAGGACCACACCCCTAAATGCATTGAAGCAACTGCCATGTGATTGGCTGATTAGATAATTGCATTAACCCTTTGATGCATGAATTATGAAATCTTCAACCATAATTTTTTAAACATTTTTTTCATTCATCTTTAGGTGTGAATGTAACAAATTTCATATTTACATATTTTTTGTAACATTTAATTTACAAATAATTTATTACATGTCCACCTCAGTGGACAGCGTGCATTCTGAACATGAAATATGTTGGCTTGACTTACTGAAGTACAAATGGAGGGACTCAAATGCAATAAAGTCTTCAACAGCTGTGCTTAATAGCAAAAATAAATAAATAACAATTTTGAGTACCTGTCCACTGTAGTGACTATTATGCATCAAAGGGTTAAGGAGAAGTTGAACAGGTGTTCAATTCAATTCAAGTTTATCATCATCATCATCACCTTTATTTATAAAAGCACCTTACAGACATATGTCATGTCACCAAGGTGCTGCACAAGACTAAACTAAAAAGATAAAAACAAAGAATATATGGGAACCCAATAAAAAAATTAAATACAGCAAAATACAAAACATCAGTTAACACACAGATTTAAAAGCCAGATTATAATAATGGGTCTTCAGCGCCTTCTTAAAAACCTCTACTGACGTGCAGAGTCGCACAGATAATGGAAGATCATTCCATAATTTTGGGCATGCTACCGAAAAAGCCCTGTCTCCTCTTGTTTTGAGCCTAGTTGCGGGGACTAGAAGCATATGGTGACTCTCTGAGCGGAGCGAACAACTAGGTATATATGGCTGTAGCAAGTCAGATAAATATTCTGGTGCCATCCCATTCAATGCCTTAAAAACCAATAAAAGAATTTTAAAACGCACTCTAAAACGACCAGTAACCAGTGCAGATCTGCCAGGATGGGTGTCACATGATCATATTTCCTTTTCCCTTCTAGGAATCTTGCCGCGGCGTTTTGCACAAGCTGCAGACGAGCTACTGTACTCTGTCTCAC